CTAAACAGTTACCAACAGTATAAACAGTGACAGTGTATCCTACACTGTCCTAAACAGTTACCAACAGTATAAACAGTGACAGTGTATCCTACACTGTCCTAAGCAGTTCCCAACAGTATAAACAGTGACAATGTATCCTACACTGTCCTAAACAGTTACCAACAGTATAAACAGTGACAGTGTATCCTACACTGTCCTAAACAGTTACCAACAGTATAAACAGTGACAGTGTATCCTACACTGTCCTAAACAGTTCCCAACAGTATAAACAGTGACAATGTATCCTACACTGTCCTAAACAGTTACCAACAGTATAAACAGTGACAATGTATCCTACACTGTCCTAAACAGTTACCAACAGTATAAACAGTGACAATGTATCCTACACTGTCCTAAACAGTTACCAACAGTATAAACAGTGACAATGTATCCTACACTGTCCTAAACAGTTACCAACAGTATAAACAGTGACAATGTATCCTACACTGTCCTAAACAGTTACCAACAGTATAAACAGTGACAATGTATCCTACACTGTCCTAAACAGTTACCAACAGTATAAACAGTGACAATGTATCCTACACTGTCCTAAACAGTTACTAACAGTATAAACAGTGACAATGTATCCTACACTGTCCTAAACAGTTACCAACAGTATAAACAGTGACAACGTATCCTACACTGTCCTAAACAGTTACCAACAGTATAAACAGTGACAATGTATCCTACACTGTCCTAAACAGTTTACCAACAGTAATAAACAGTGACAATGTATCCTACACTGTCCTAAACAGTTACCAACAGTATAAACAGTGACAATGTATCCTACACTGTCCTAAACAGTTACCAACAGTATAAACAGTGACAATGTATCCTACACTGTCCTAAATAGTTACCAACAGTATAAACAGTGACAATGTATCCTACACTGTCCTAAACAGTTCCAACAGTATAAACAGTGACAATGTATCCTACACTGTCCTTAACAGTTACCAACAGTATAAACAGTGACAATGTATCCTACACTGTCCTAAACAGTTACCAACAGTATAAACAGTGACAGTGTATCCTACACTGTCCTAAACAGTTACCAACAGTATAAACAGTGACAGTGTATCCTACACTGTCCTAAACAGTTCCCAACATTTATAAACAGTGACAATGTATCCTACACTGTCCTAAACAGTTACCAACAGTATAAACAGTGACAGTGTATCCTACACTGTCCTAAACAGTTACCAACAGTATAAACAGTGACAGTGTATCCTACACTGTCCTAAACAGTTCCCAACAGTATAAACAGTGACAATGTATCCTACACTGTCCTAAACAGTTACCAACAGTATAAACAGTGACAATGTATCCTACACTGTCCTAAACAGTTACAACAGTATAAACAGTGACAATGTATCCTACACTGTCCTAAACAGTTACCAACAGTATAAACAGTGACAATGTATCCTACACTGTCCTAAACAGTTACCAACAGTATAAACAGTGACAATGTATCCTACACTGTCCTAAACAGTTACCAACAGTATAAACAGTGACAATGTATCCTACACTGTCCTAAACAGTTACCAACAGTATAAACAGTGACAATGTATCCTACACTGTCCTAAACAGTTACTAACAGTATAAACAGTGACAATGTATCCTACACTGTCCTAAACAGTTACCAACAGTATAAACAGTGACAATGTATCCTACACTGTACTAAACAGTTACCAACAGTATAAACAGTGACAATGTATCCTACACTGTCCTAAACAGTTACCAACAGTATAAACAGTGAGAAAATGTCCTACATGTCCTATTGGTGATTAATAATATGTAAACATGGGTTAATTTAGGTTAGGTTAAGGAAATCTTCATTTTTTTTTATCTCAACGGCTGTCCCCTGCCAAGATAGGCTTATTGCAGTATAATAATAACTTTTATCATTGTTTAGATAGTGCAGAAACTGGTACATTGTAATGCACATCAAAATGCCATAGTGAAAATAGCAAATAAAACCTGAGTGCTCTCATGTGATTACACATATATTCCTCCAAAGATGTGTGTAAGCATATAAAAGCACTCAGGTTTTATTTCCTATATTCACTGTGGTATTTTTACATATCTGCAATCACACATTTTATGGTGATTTCTTATACTGTAATACATGTGCACCTCTACACTCCACTTAGAAGAAGGATTGTACCAAGACAAAAGCTGCAACAATTATAATGAATACAGGCTGGCAGCCACACGTCAGTGACTAATAAGACAAAAATGGAGATAAGACACACAGGCTGTTTTTAGCAACTTTATAAAATATTTGCATGATGCAGAGATACATGCAGCACTCAACACTAAGCAACACATTATATCTTTATAAATTTACTGGGAAATGACAAAGCAATAGATTGTGTTTGGATTAGTGTCATAAATATGAATAAATATAGTGATAAACTACTACAATAGTAATACAGTGGTACCTTGACTTATGAGTTTTCTGAGTTATAAGCTGTCGCTCGGTCAATTTTTTGCTTTGAGTTGCGAGCCAAAATCCAAGTTACGAGCGAGCTTCAGATATGCTGCCACTAGTTGGCGCAGTGAATGCCACGACATCCACCAATCATCCCAGTGTTTTGTGCTTATTGTAAAGTTATATTTTGAAAAATTTATTTTTTCCTAACCATGTGTCCTAAGAGAGTAAGTGCAAAGGACAGTGCTGAGAAGAAGAGGCTGATATCCAATGAATTAACCCCTTGACTGTCACAACCCCAAATCCTGAGGTGTCTCCTGATGTCGCAAAATTACCCCCCCCCCAAAAAAAAATCTTATGAAATGATAGAGAATCTTTTCCCAATTGTAATGACACCAAAAGAATGTAATTTGATGGAAAACTAATGGAATTACGCTCTCGCGAAGTTACCGTCCTCGGCGATATTTACAAATCAGCGATTTCGCCTGCTTTGAGCTCTATTCTCGGCTAATTCCATTGTTCCGGTCAACCAAACTCATAACTATTTCTTTAGAACTCCATTTTTTCTATCAATTGAGTACAAGAAACTGCCCATTTACGGATTTCAACTACCCGATAACGTGGTCAATTTCACGAAAATTAAAAAATATGACAATTTCAAAATAGGGTCCAGAATGAACAATGCAGATATTCCTGGCTCTAAAATAACATTTTCTATGTTCATCAGTCACGTCTCCAGGCCCCTCTGATATTACTCTTGCTTTCTATTCTGAATTTTTATTCAAACAAAAAATAGAAGATTTACTGTTATGCTGACTACTGCAATATTGTAATAATTGTATAAATAATGTCAACCCATTCATGACTGCATATTAGAATGGCTACTTGGACATTTATTGGAAAATGACATCATTTGTTTACTTTTGAACATCGGCAAAAAATCAAACATTTCCCCTACTTTGAGCTCCATTTCAAGGTTCTTTTCATAGTAAAACCAATCAAAAACACCTCTATTTCTATAATATGTTTTCCATTCTATCAAATGAGACCAAGAAAATGAGAATACAACCATAAATACTATATGAAAATAGACCACAAAGTCGGCATTTTAATTAAAAAAAAAACAGTCGGAGTTTTTTTTTCTCATTATGCACTGCGTGCTGCAGGATTTTTTTTATATGGTGCACACTGACTACACAGACCCATTCTCTCACATGTGGGCCAACCAGCTTTCTCCTGCTTGATTTGAACCCGCTAGAATTTATGAGTAAATATACGTACATCAAAAACGGTGGCTCGTAAGACGTATATATATACGACCAAAACAGTCAAAGGGTTAAGCATGAAATCATAGAAAAACACGAGAAAATCGCTTTTGTTTCAGTGTTTTCCTTATGAAACTAATGATCTAGTGCAGTTAGCCTCACAAACGCCCTGTTTTCTCTTATAATAAGACCTCAGAAGGGCAATAATGGGACAATATGGCCAGAGTGATAATTATTTCTACCTCAGGAGTGGCCGCCACCACTGGTCACATAATGACATATTTTATTCATTCTATAGTATATATCATGTTTCTATGTTATTTATATTGTTTATTATGTCATAGTAGATCAACTGTGATAGATAAACAAGCCGTAGAGTTGATATTAGCGTTTTATTGCAGTATTTTCTTCTGCCTCTCGAGAGCCAGGAATTCCACTGGAACGGATTAATGGCATTTCAATTACAGTAATTTCAGCGAGGAAAACTGATTTGATATACGAGCAAACCGAGTTACGAGCTCGGTCAAGGAACGAATTAAACTTGTAAGTCAAGGTACCACTGTATAAAATACAGCCGAGAGAGAGAGAGAGAGAGAGAGAGAGAGAGAGAGAGAGAGAACTGTGTATTCCAACTTCAGTCCCTTAAGAGGGCCTCTGAGGCTGAAATATGGATACTACATCTACTCATGTTTCATATTTGTGTCAAAGGTGGTGCCACATTCGCACAAAGAGATGTGTTTAATTCTGAGGAGAGAAACATTATGATTACGGGAAAGCGTTAGGAGGGAAAGCAAGAGATCACACTAAACTACATATACATGTATGTTAATATTTTTAAATTTCATGACAAGTCTTAATACTGAAGATGAACCACCAAGAGCTTAGCTCTCCTCCTGTATCTACAAATAGGTAATTAAATAGAAAAATTGGTAAACATGCATGTGAGACAGAGAAATAAGTGAATCTATCTGTGGGACAAATGAGCACAAAGAAAGTAGCAATGATCACATAAATAAAACCTCTGGACTATTCTTTCTGCAAAAGTCAAAAAAAATCTTGAATAGTTGTCACACTTATATATAGCCTTACAGAACCAAGCATAAGCTTCACTGAAGCTTAACAACAAAGGTATATATAAGCCACATATACATCAATTGTACATTAAGGTGCTGTTATTCACTATAAGAAAAATGCTATATAAAAGACTTTCTTCGGGGATTTTACAAAGCACACACACAACATACAAGTGATGGAAGGTTTCTTACCACGATCTGTCACCAGCACACCCCGCCGCCACACAGATGGGGAGCTGCTACGAGTCTCCCTGAGCACCACTGACGATGCTGAGGATGTGGAGGGTTGGCAGGCAGAGTAGGGTACCACTTGCTGACTGGTCATGCTCTCAACACCACTAATCCCACTGCTACTTGTGCTAACTCTTTCTTCATTGCTATTAATCCCAACACCATCACTAGAGCCAAGTTGCCTCTTAACACCATTACCACTACCACCACTGTGCACCTCCCCAGCAAGGGAAACACTGTTATTAATGATATCCGAGGAAGCACGATCCGGGATGGCCGCCCCCACGGGGAACACCACCTGAGACCTGAAATTCTCCGCTGTAGCGGTCCCAACGATTGTTGTTGCTGAGGATATGATGGTGGTAGGAAGGGGCAGCGGCAACCCCCCAGAGGAGTCCCTGCCAGAGGTGGTACCAGGGCGGGGAATCGCAGGAGTAAGCTCCACCGAGATGACTGCTGAAGAGAGCAACCATGCCATCTATGTTATCAGCCAATTACAAAGACCAAAACCAGGCAGGAAATATATTGCAGAAACAAGCTTTGCATCTCACTCTAAGTTTGGCCTTACTTTTGACATGCACTAGCTGGAGGCTACTACATTATTAATCAAAATAACATTCACATATTAGCAAAGGAAATTATTGGGGTCAGAAGCAATCCTGGCTACAGCATCATAATCAACTACAGTATAATAATGCAACTACCAAAAGAGAAAATAATTCAAATTGCTTTTATATATTTCTATTGTGAAGTGCTACTTTGACAATTTCTACAGCCATATTCAGACCACACCTCATATCACACTCATAAGAACATAAGAATGTAGGAACACTGCAGAAGACCTACTGGCCCATACGAGGCAGGTCCTTATCAAAACGACCTCTACCTAAAGCTACCCAAGAAATAACTCCCGTACCCCATGACACCAATCAAACCCAGCCCCTCCCACTCATATATTTGTCCAGTCTCTTCTTAAAGCTACCCAAGGTCCTAGCCTCATGCTTACTAAATACACCCAAATTCCTAATGCACCACCATTTTTACTTTATCTTCACACACTCACACACTCACTCCACACTCATGCCCACCCTCCATACCAACTACATTCACCGTCAGACAGTCACATATATGCCCCCACAATCCACATCCATTCCTACTCCACTTTGTCAGTACGTACTATAATCACAAATTACGTAAGAAGTCAATTTATGAGTGCTTATGAGCAAAAATTTATATTTCAGAGATTTTTCCACTGCAATTCTTAATGTATTTCATAAGAGTGCTTCTAACAAGCTTCCCAGCTCCCTTTACTGTATATCATATTTAAGATTTTTCTCTAATAAAACTGGCAAACTAATTACATTCTTTTCATGACAGTCTGAATATATCTTAACCTTAGTGCTGATGTTGCAATTCATTTATATTAAATGAATTGCAACATCAGTCTTAAAATATAACCAATATTCAAAAAACTTTCCAATGTACTTGCCTAACCACATATTATATTACTCAAAGTCCAGTAAACTCTTTGTGCAAAAATCAACTTCCTGGAAGCTACCATATACAGTATCTATTACTATATTCATGTAAAATAGGCAGAAAAAAGGTATAATTTTTCACATATACCAATGAAAGGAGGATGGCCATAATGCTAAATATGTTTGATGAAAAGACACTAATTACTGATCCTGAGCACTGCTGCTGCCAGCAAGCTATTAAGAGTAGAGTCAGTACCTAATAGAAAGTAGTCAGAAATGGCAACTTCCTGGAGGAGACTGTACAAAGGAGCCTAAAAGTTTATTGCCTTGAAGATAAGCAAAAGACAATTTCTGTGTATTGGTTGAAAATGTGACACAGCCATGTTGAATTAGAAGGCTAAGGGCATGTGAAGAATCAAAGGTCTGGATCACCTGTAATACGCTTTCCAGGATAAGGAAGTGGCTCTGATGGCTATGTGGATGATTGCTCAAGATGTATACCTGGAGAGTATACCTGCATAAGCTCTGCTGTAAAAATACTAGTCAACTATCCTTTTTCTCCATGGGGAAGTGGAACAGAATTCTTCCTCCGTAAGCCATGCGTGTTGTAAGAGGCGACTAAAATGCCGGGAGCAAGGGGCTAGTAACCCCTTCTCCCGTATAAATTACTAAATTTAAAAGAGAAACTTTTGTTTTTCTTTTTGGGCCACTCTGCCTTGGTGGGATATGGCCGGTGTGTTGAAAGAAAGAAAGAAAGAAAGAACTATCCTTTTAAAACAACAGTGCTTTCATCCTGTCCAGATTCAGGTAAGTTTGTCAGGATGGGTGCTGGTCCAGGTCTACTTCATGTAGTGACCCAGCAAGCTCTCCAGTCCAAAACACTGCACGACAAAAGACCTCACAAACATTATTACCCGATTCTATTATATATCTGCAGCTCTTTATTATTTGCATAACACACAGTTTAGTGTCTTTGTTGGCCAAGAACATTTTTGAAATAACATTATTTGTATGACTGAAGTCTGTTACTTAATCTTATTTTAACTTCCCTTGCTACAGTTGCCAATACACTACTCTATATACCACTGTATAAAATAAAATCTACTCAATGTAACTTATTTATGATGGTACTGAGCCAAATATAACTTCGCTATAAAGCAGGGCACCATTAGTTAGCACCAAGTAACATTCCTGAGACTGTCAACTGCCCCAGAATCTAGAACTTGACTAAGTAAGTGGCCAAAACTAGCTAACATATCAACTTTGGAAGACTCCCTACATCACTGAATTGACATATGAAATACACTAAGATTCCCTAAGAGACATTTCACTTTTTACAGCTATAAGCTACAGGCTTTCTTCTTCTTTATCAAATATTATGGAGATGGTATGTTAATTATTGCAATAAACACGGTCTAAAGGCTGTTAATTTCTGCAATAAACAGTTTAAAGGCCATTAATTTTTGTAATATGGTCTATAGAATATTAGTTTTTGTAATAAACACAAGCTGTTAGTTTGTGTCCAATATGGCTTAAAAGATGTTAATTTTTGTAATTAATATATACCAGTAGATTATAAACATGTACTGTACATCAAAGGAAATCATCTTCAGAAAATTATTTTCTGTACCATAATTGCTATAAAAACCAATAAATCACAAACCTAATGATGTCTTTGAATCTTGTGTATCAAAAACATTTGTAGAGTTGGAGCCATGCTTGGTGCCAATTGGAGACTTCAAGTTTGCTGACCTCTCATTTGGGCCAGAGAGCGAGGGAGATACGCCAGGCAGTGTACCGTCCCCATCTAGGTCATATGCTGGTGTGCTGTGGCTCTTGTCTAGCTTAGGTCGATCTTCTGAGACACGACGTGGCCTCCCAGAGATGTCCTGCACAGACTCGTGACCTGAACTAGCATTCTTGTCTGGTGAAACTGTGCTGGACTGTAAGGAAGGTGAGTGAGAGTGTATAACCAATGCAAGATTTCCAGCTCTTCCACTGCTCATATTCTCTTCTGTCAAAAGAGGACGATGAGCCAGTGATGGAGAGGCATTCTGAGCTGCCGTTACTGCGCCATAGTTAGTTGGCTTTCTCGGTGGCAGTGGTATGATATTGACTACTTTCTTTTCAGGTTTGTTTTCTCCAAACACACATTCTTGGTCAAAACTCTTTTCTCCACTCTTACCATCTGCATCTTCTATTGCCTTACCACCACCTCGTCCCCCTTCCTTCACTGTGCATTCTGCTTCAGTTCCTTCCTTTAACATTGCTTCCTTGCCATCCCTTACTATTCTTACTTTATTTTCAGTTCCTATGCAAGTGTGAGGGCGGGTAACACGGTCTGACCCACCAGGTCCTCTTAATAAATCAGGATCCGACGGTGCTAGGCCATCAGCAAATCCAATTCGTCCACCACGGTTCCACCTTACGTCCTGCAACAGCTGGAGAGCACATTTACAAGTAAATCACTACACTAATACATCAGTAATTAAGGTATATTTGACAAATTAAGCCCAGTTCACTGACTTGTTTGGCAAAAATCAAAATCACAGATGGATATTGTATGTACAAAGCAACTCCTAGAAAAAATTATCTAAAAAAAAATTAGGTAACTAAGTCTAGTAAGACTGCTGTTGTTAGAGTAAAAGAACTAAGCTTGTGGTAGCTCATCTTCAGTATTTATTGTAAGATAGCTTCTGTGATCACTCATTATCTTTTATTAGTTAAAGGAGCAGAATAAAGCTCATAGTGGACCATACTGTTACTCAGCAAAAATCAGCTCACAATAATTACTTATTCAGGCTCCAGACAACACATACCCCCTTATTCAAAAGTTTAAATCTACTCTGTCTCAGTGGGATACAGCTGATGTTGAAAAAAAAACAGAAACTCAGAAGATTAATTGATATGTATATTCTGACCCACTTCTGCTGAAGAGGATCTCAGAAGGGGGTTGAAATATAGAGATCAATTATTCTCCGGAGTTTCTGTCTCCAAGTGGGTTATTACTGAGCATTTGAAAGGATATTTCACCTGGTCAAAGCTGAGAGATGGTCTGGTAGTGGCTCCGGGTATTGTGGCACGGCGCTGCACAGGTGCTCGAGGCTTAGGGTGGTAAAGACGAACACTGACAGGTGATGTGCCAGCCAGATCACTGTCAGACAAGAATGGGTCATCCTCGGAGTCAGAGTCAGAAGATGCTCTGTCTGATGTTGTGCTCGGTGCATCGCTATAAATATAAATCATTAGTACAGGCAGAGGTAAGTTGAGGAAGATGACATAACAATGAAATGTCAAACAATAATGTAGTAAGTTTTAATAAAAAGTGCAATAATGACAGTGTTGACAGAACACAAAGAACTACAGTGGCAATTATAACTATTCATGGATGATTACAATAGATTTTGCTCAGTGAAAGCATGAGCTGTGTTATTTAAATGTTGTACACATTATACAGGGACATATATTATTCACACATCCATTATTGGATACCCTAGTCAAACCTCATTAATTTAATTTAAAAACTGAAATAAAATTCTTATACAGATCCCCAGCTAATGAACAAGATCCATTCCAGAAATTTTTTGACAGGATTTGATAGCAAGAAAGATAGTGGCAGAAGTTGATGTGACTGTGGCAGAAAGAGGGTTGGGTGGGGCATAACAACTAAGCTTATTGTTTTGAGTATCTTTCAGTGTATGTTAACCGATGCTAAATGATTGCCACAAAAAAAATCTGCGATCCTTTGAAGATGGCCTCTGAGAATTATGATAATTTGTAATGTGCTTCAAGAAACTGTACAGGCAAAAGCATGTGGCACTGACACTAACACAGTAGTGATTTTTATTTCCAATCACTGTAATATCTCTTCCTATTATACATCTCGACCTTATTTTACACAACCCCAAAATGCAGTTTTTTTTAACACTAGTTTTATTAAACCTTGTATGAGAAACTCCTATGGGGCAGTCACCCTAACTCTTGTTCCTCCTTACCCAATGTCCAACTGCTTTCTCACCATAAAATTGTACATATACTTGAAGTTTACAATTAATTAAATGGGGGACAATAAAGCTTCCACTGTGATAGTACACAGATGTGAGAAGAAATGCACATACTGGCAACACCTACCTGACAGTTGATGGAGGTTGTGGTGAAGGTGTCGTCAGCATAGGTGGAGGAGTCGTGGATTTGGGACGTGGTTCTAAGTTTGCCTCGCGCCTCACAGGCACCTTGTCTACTGACCTGGTTGGTAAGAAGATCTTTTTTATATGACTCCTAAAATAGATCACCATACACAAAAACAAAGATTCCACACACTCTCTTATACATAAGAGGTTTTCACACACACCATTGCATCAGAAAGCTGCATTTATTCCCAAATGTATCAGAAAATGCATAGTAGCTCAGTTGTTAGAGCATTCAACTTGAAACCAAAAGGTCCCAGGGTTTGATCCCCCAACATGAAGAAGTCAGTTCCTTAACACTGACTATTAACCTACCAGTAAACAGGAGCAGAACATTACTTGGATGTTAGTCAACTGTTGTGAGTGCTTCCAGCAGTGGGGAAGAAGCCATAGCTAGGTGGTCTTTAAAATGAGCTAAGGTATGATAACAACTCTTAGACTGTAAAGAAAACCTACTTTAAACCCAGTTTAAAGTACTGTATGCTGTCTTGGCAACTACACCCCTAAACTAATACAATAGTTAACATGCTATCCAATTAAAAAACACCACCCCAGAATGAATGCAGAGTGAATGCAGATCATGGTTATATCATCAAATCTCAGGATTTTAGGCCCAGGGGTGCATCATGAATTTAGCAAACCTGTTTTGTACCAGATAGTTTTATCAGCAAGTCTGTTTTTCCTATATAAAATAAGACTCCTGACAAAATCATGTGAACCACAGCGTTTTCACATCTCACCAAGCACATCAGTATACAAATACTTCTGACGCAAATACTGTATTCTTTTTTTTTTTTTAACACACTGGCCGTCTGCCACCAAGGCAGGATGGCCCAAAACAGAAACTCTCACCATCATTCACACTATTACTGTCTTGCCAGAGAACTGAACTGAACCTCTATTGAAGTGCAATACAATTAAAAACTAAAATGTGGGCTACCTTTCCAGACAAATTAAAAAACAATCATTTATCAAATAAACTCAACTCTAAGCTTAAAAAGTACCGTGAGACCTAATAATTTTCTGAAAACAGCCTTAATTATTCCTGGTGCCCATTTGATTTTTGCTTGGTCAACAACCCTTGAATTGAAAACTTACCTTAGGGTGCCGTTCAGGTTGTGCTTGATGGTTTTCTCATTCAAATCACTTTTCTTTAATAACATTTTCCTTATGAATGTTAGTACTAATGAGATTAAGCCAATATTTAAAAACAGAATACGTATACCCAAATCAGAAACAAAATATATTTTTTACATTAGTCATTTCCCAGCAATTTGGGGAACCCATAGAAGGAAACACAGTGTTCCTTTACTAGTGGTACAGGTATCTGCTGATTCTGGACTGAGATAGACCTCTAGGAGTCTAACCCCAGTGAATACACGGGTTGGACTACACTTTTTTTTTTTTTGAAGTGGTTTCATTACTATTTTTCCAACTTACACTGACAGCTGCAAGTTAGGGATGCTCTGGAGATCATAGCGGGGCGAGCTAACTAACAAGTTGCCCCATGGAGAGTATGTGCGCTTTTTACTGGGAAGTCGCATTGGCTTCAAATATATCTGGGCGACAGTGTTGGCATGTCGAGGACGTTTCTTTACAGTCAGAATTACTTCAACAGGAAATTCTTGCATAATTGCTGTGACCTTATGAGGGCTCCAGCCAATCTAAGGAAAGTCACATAGATCTTTTTAATGTATAGTATATAGTCTTTATAAATAGTATAAACACTGTTTGCAATTGCACTGTGAAATTAATGTGCATATTAGCTAATCTGTGCGTGATGTACAGTACCAAACTAATATGACAGAAGACAAAATTATGGTCAATAGAAAATGTAATGTTTGTAAAGGCTAATGCTAAAGAAACACAAGTGCAGTTGTGAACATTAAAATGGTATAAAATACCGACAGGTTGTTAGGTAAGACACATATGCAACAGTTGGGTATCTTTATTTCGAAGCGTTTCGCCTACACAGTAGGCTTCTTCAATCGAGTACAGAAAAGTTGATAGAAGCAGAAGATACTTGAAGATGATGTAATCAGTCCATCACCCTTGAAGTTTTGAGGTGGTCAGTCCCTCAGACTGAAGAGTATGGAACAATACTCTTCTCCAGACTGAGGGACTGACCACCTCAAAACTTCAAGGGTGATGGACTGATTATATCGTCTTCAAGTATCTTCTGCTTCTATCAACTTTTCTGTACTTGACTGAAGAAGCCTACTGTGTAGGCGAAACGTTTCGAAATAAAGATACCCAACTGTTGCATATGTGTCTTACCTAACAACACAAGTGCAGTTATCCAGAATCTTTTATTAGTATGGGCAAAACATCATTAACAAAAGATTCCATATAACTGCATCTGTCTCTTTACCTTTAATATTGTTACCTCATACCATTAACTTCTATTTAGGATCTGGACTACACAACAAGCAAAATATTCCTACTAATGATGCCAAAAAAGAGGGAGGGAAGGTTAAGGGTATTCAGATTTGAACTGAGGAAGGAGAGCAGCAGTCTAATTCTTTGGATCAAGAGCCACTCTTCCATAGCAAGGAAAGTCCCCTTGAAAAGGAAGAGAAATAATTAAGTGAACAGAGAAAATTATAGAATACAATTGTCTTGAAGAGCTAAGTGAAGATCAAGAGTGTCATAATGGTACACAGGAAAAAAAAGAAAATGTATGACATTTGGATTGCACAGTGATGAAAAATGGTTCAGCAATAAGAGGAAGATGTCAATAAATATTACAGCCAAGAGCACAGTGCAACAGGGAAAACATGAGGAGAAAATTAAGATAATTAGTTTGAGGTATTATGAATTACATCAAACAAAAAGGGATTGAATACTATAGCCAGACATATTCCATGATGTGGCAAAAGAGAGTGCAAAAGGAGAGCAGATGACAGAGTGGGGGAGGCACTGTCAAGAAATTTTAATGAAAATAAGAAAAAATTTTGGAGCAAGTTAAACAAGTTAAGAAAGCCTATGGAACGTATGGATTTGTCAGTTAAAAACAGAGTAGGGGAGTTAGTAGATGGGGAGAGGGAGGTATTAGGTAGATAGCGAGAATATTTTGAGGAACTTTTAAATGTTGAGGAAGAAAGGGAGGCGGTAATTTCATGCACTGGCCAGGGAGGTATACCATCTTTTAGGAGTGAAGAAGAGCAGAATGTAAGTGTGGGGGAGGTACGTGAGGCATTACGTAGAATGAAAGGGGGTAAAGCAACTGGAACTGATGGGAACATGACAGAAATGTTAAAAGCAGGGGGGATATAGTGTTGGAGTGGTTGGTACTTTTGTTTAATAAATGTATGAAAGAGGGGAAGGTACCTAGGGATTGGCAGAGAGCATGTACAGTCCCTTTATATAAAGGGAAAGGGGACAAAAGAGACTAATTTTTTTTTTTTTTTTCAACAAGTCGGCCATCTCCCTCCGAGGCAGGGTGACCCAAAAAAGAAAGAAAATCCCCAAAAAAGAAAATACTTTCATCATCATTCAACACTTTCACCACACACATTATCACTGTTTTTGCAGAGGTGCTCAGAATACAACAGTTTAGAAGCATACACATATAAAGATACACAACATATCCCTCCAAATATGTGAACAGTATTTAGATAAAGGTAGGGAAGTTTTTATTGCATTTATGGATTTAGAAAAGGCATATGATAGAGTGGATAGAGGAGATATGTGGCAGATGTTGCAAGTATATGGAATAGGTGGTAAGTTATTAAATGCTGTAAAGAGTTTTTATGAGGATAGTGAGGCTCAGGTTAGGGTGTGTAGAAGAGAGGGAGACTACTTCCCGGTAAAAGTAGGTCTTAGACAGGGATGTGTAATGTCACCATGGTTGTTTAATATATTTATAGATGGGGTTGTAAAGGAAGTAAATGCTAGGGTGTTCGGGAGAGGGGTGGGATTAAATTTTGGGGAATCAAATTCAAAATGGGAATTGACACAGTTACTTTTTGCTGATGATACTGTGCTTATGGGAGATTCTAAAGAAAAATTGCAAAGGTTAGTGGATGAGTTTGGGAATGTGTGTAAAGGTAGAAAGCTGAAAGTGAACATAGAAAAGAGTAAGGTGATGAGGGTATCAAATGATTTAGATAAAGAAAAATTGGATTTCAAATTGGGGAGGAGGAGTATGGAAGAAATGAATGTTTTCAGATACTTGGGAGTTGACGTGTCGGCAGATGGATTTATGAAGGATGAGGTTAATCATAGAATTGATGAGGGAAAAAAGGCGAGTGGTGCGTTGAGGTATATGTAGAGTCAAAAAACGTTATCCATGGAGGCAAAGAAGGGAATGTATGAAAGTAAAGTAGTACCAACACTCTTATATGGGTGTGAAGCTTGGGTGGTAAATGCAGCAGCGAGGAGACGGTTGGAGGCAGTGGAGATGTCCTGTTTAAAGGCAATGTGTGGTGTAAATATTATGCAGAAAATTCGGAGTGTGGAAATTAGGAAAAGGTGTGGAGTTAATAAAAGTATTAGTCAGAGGGCAGAAGAGGGGTTGTTGAGGTGGCTTGGTCATTTAGAGAGAATGGATCAAAGTAGAATGACATGGAAAGCATATAAATCTATTGGGAAAGGAAGGCAGGGTAGGGGTCGTCCTCGAAAGGGTTGGAGAGAGGGGGTAAAGGAGATTTTGTGGGCAAGGGGCTTGAACTTCCAGCAAGCATGCGTGAGCGTGTTAGATAGGAGTGAATGGAGACAAATGGTACTTGGGACCTGACGATCTGTTGGAGTGTGAGTAGGGTAATATTTAGTGAAGGGATCCAGGGAAACCGGTTATTTTCATATAGTCGGACTTGAGTCCTGGAAATGGGAAGTACAATGCCTGCACTTTAAAGGAGGGGTTTGGGATATTGGCAGTTTGGAGGGATATGTTGTGTATCTTTATACGTATATGCTTCTAAACTGTTGTGTTCTGAGCACCTCTGCAAAAACAGTGATTATGTGTGAGTGAGGTGAAAGTGTTGAATGATGATGAAAGTATTTTCTTTTTGGGGATTTTCTTTCTTTTTGGGTCACCCTGCCTCAGTGGGAGATGGCCGACTTGTTGAAAAAAAAAAAAAAAAAGAAGAAATGGTTTGGGATATTGGCAGTTTGGATGGACTTCTGAACTCTCGTATCTGAGCACCTCTGCCAAGACAGTGATTATGGATTATGTATGAGTGAGGTGAAAGTGTTGAATGATGATGAAAGTATTTTCTTTTTTGGGGATTTTCTTTATTTTTAGGTCACCCTGCCTCGGTGGGAAACATCCGATGCGTTGAAAGAAAAAAGAACATTCCATGAGGTGATTACCAACACAAGGCTCTGAAAAAACATTTGGTATATGTAAAGCATATATATGCCAAGGTACTGAGAATTATTGTGCCCACAGCCAGGTTTCTGACCAGGCCTTATAAATTACAAGAGGAATGTTAGAGTAATAAAAAGTATTAAGAAACAGAGAAAGTAAAGCAGCTAAGTGTATCCTGAATGTAAGTGAAAGATTGTAAGATTCACCTGTCACTGCACATATTCAGCTGAACTGTGGCAAAGTATGAGAAGTATTGAAGATGGCTTATTATTGTCTGAAACTCAATACATTTCTGACACCAAAATTATATACTGTACATTCCATTACTAACCACAGTCTGATAGTTCACTTGTACCAGCTCATCCCCCTCCTGAAGTTTGCCACACTGATAGGCTGGACTCAATGCTCGCACTTCAGACACTTGATGAACACCGTGGTAGGAAGACTGCAACCCAACGCCCTGTGGTGATTTAATGTCAGCCATACTATGCTCAAATACCATAAGTCTGCATTAACTGCTATATGAATACAGTACTCTAAGTAGTATAAAAAATAAGCAAACCAACACGCACACAAAAAAATAATATTTTACTATCACACCAGGTTAAAACAACTTACATCAATTAAAATTTAAATTCAGAAAGAAATACAGTGGACCCCCGCTTAACGATCACCTCCCAATGCGACCAATTATGTAAGTGTATTTATGTAAGTGTGTTTGTACATGTATGTTTGGGGGTCTGAAATGGACTAATCTACTTCACAATATTCCTTATGGGAACAAATTCGGTCAGTACTGGCACCTGAAAATACTTCTGGAATGAAAAAATATCGTTAAACGGGGGTCCACTGTATGACCAAAAACACGGATTATCAACAGGTTCAACATGGCAGCAAGAACTTTCACACTCTTCTTCATGAGATGATCTTGTAGGATAAACAAATTCAAATGTTGAAAGTACAGAGTAGTAATGTGCAAATCAGATGTCTGGCAGACATAAGTGTTGTTTATGGCTTGACATGCAGTTAGAGTTCAAGTAATTTAACATTTATGATGATATTCTGAGAAATCAGTTATCTGAACTTGAGTGTTGAGGGGGGAAGTAAAGTGCTGGTGCCCTGAAGAGATGGGGAGGGGATATGGCAGTTCGGGAGGTCATTTGAATTATAAAATCTGTGTGCCTAAGTGAAAAACAGCCAATGGTAAAAAAAAATACATCAGCCATTTTCCACCACTGTAGACTGACCAACATACTCACTATCCTCCAGGTAATAGCTGTTTTGCTGTAAGTGTACAGACATTATAATTCAACTACTCTCTTAACCAAAATATCCCCATCCTCTCTTGTACTGAGATCATGGATGAAATAACATGATGAGTGAAAAGCAGGAGGCTGGCTACTCACCCACTCATCATCAGCCTTCTTCTTGATGGTAGCAATGTCCAGGGTGGCAGGCTGGATGATAAGAGGATCACTGTATTCCTGTACCAACAATAACACCATTACCATTAACCCACTGCAGAACTGCTGTGCCACAAAACTGGAGTGGTAAATATCTTGTGTGAATCAGAATAAATAAATTTTTCAACAAAAATGGGAATCAGAGTATGAATAAAGTTTATACACATGGTAAAACTTTTGCACTTTGGATAAGTCTTTAGCTACTAATTTTTAAAATGAGATGCACCTATTATAATAATAATTTAATGATTATATCTTTACTGTCATGATCCTCAAAATTGTTCTGTCAACATAAAAAAAAATCTTGTCAAATGGTAAAGAATCTTTTTGTGATAGTAATGACATAAAAAGTGTGAAATTTAATGTAAAACTTATAGAATTACACAGGTAAAAAGTTAGCAGTCTGGGTGCAATTTACACATGCAAATGCAATGCACTACCAATTTACCACCTGAAAGCAATATTTTTTCAGACTCCATATGACACTCCTTGTAATTATGGTTAACAGTTCCGATCCTAAATAGCACAACAAGTGAGAACATTACCTGAATGATTTTGTCTGATATGACAGCAAGCCTAAGGCACAATTGAAGAATTACGGTGGCCTGGTTCTCAGCAAACATGTCACGCTGGGCAATGGTTGCTAGTCGAATGCTCAGCTCCACCAGGTCACTCTTAAGGCAGTCGTATTTCTCTTGGCCCTCAAATGGCTGCCTGTAAGTGTATGGTATATTCATAAGCAAGGGAAAAATAAAACATCTACAGGAAACAGCTACTCAAAATATGTATGCTATGGATTACTAAAGTGTAATGAACGCTTGCTTTACTACAGGACTTGTCATCTCACCCACCTACTACTTGACACGTCCCTCCATGTGCCACTCCCTTATGTGGAGCGAGGTGCAGCCTTCCCTATATGTATATTAATGTTCTCCTTTCACTTATGTACCTACTGAAGAGGATCCCAGCAGCAGATCGAAATATACAGACCAATTAATGTTACGAGTTTCTGTCTCCATGTGGGTTATTATTGAGCATGTTTGCAATGTTGCAGAAATATTAATTTTCTTCCTTCAACAAACCGGCCGCATCCCACCGAGGCAGGGTGGCCCAAAAAGAAAAACAAAAGTTTAGCTTTTTAAATTTAGTAATTTATACAGGAGAAGGGGTTACTAGCCCCTTGCTCCCGGCATTTTAGTCGCCTCTTACAACACGCATGGCTTACGGAGGAAAAATTCTGTTCCACTTCCCCATGGAGATAAGAGGAAATAGACAAGAACAAGAAAGAAAATAGCAGAAAACCCAGAGGGGTGTGTATATATATGCTTGTACATGTATGTGTAGTGTGACCCAAGTGTAAGTAGAAGTAGCAAGACGTACCTGAAATCTTGCATGTTTATGAGACAGAAAAAAGGACACCAGCAATCCTACCATCACGTAAAACAATTACAGGCTTTCGTTTTACACTCACTTGGCAGGACGGTAGTACTTCCCTGGGCGGTTGCTGTCTACCAACCTACTACCTAGGAGAAATACTATTAATATCAACATAGATTCCCTTAGAATTTTCTCTTGAAGCATTCCTTACTTTTCATATACATATAAACATGGTTTTGTCTTTGAAACTATAAAATTGCTTCACAGATTTCAGTTGGGTTGAGTTATTTAAGCTGAAACTGAGACCAGAGCAAAACCAAGAGATTCTTGAATCACAAGGGGAAAGTGACTGTAAAATATTAGTCGTTTTGTCAAGCATCACAACACAAACTGTTCCCACTAATATTGACCTGTGTAATCTGAAAAATTTTATTCCTTAATCATAAACAAAACCGGAAGATTATGATGAAGACATTCCCATCATATTATGCTGAGCAACTTATGCTACTAATGCTGAACTTTTACTTTTCCCCCATTTATTCATATTTCACATATAAGATTTATGTCTGAGGCTCCACCTTGGGAACCCACCTTGAAGCAATTATCACTTAATGAAAGGTAGCTCACTATACCCTTATTCAGCTTGACAAAGCTCCTGGAGAGCAAAACGTTGCCAAGTACTTTGTGTATAAATATGCCAATTATACATATAATTCTGCACAAGAAAGGTATACAATACCAACAAGATAAAAGTTAAGACACATGCAACATCTGGTTATCTTTATAACCAGATGCTGCACATGTGTTTTAACTTTCATATATATAATTTCTTTACCAAGAAATTTCTTTAACATGTTACTGCATTTTACTTTCCTATTAATTACACCATGCAACAATGTCTCTCTTAATCTTACCCCTAATATTTTTCAATTTATTGACTAATGGCTATCATTAACCTTAATCACATCATTTTTATTACTGTTGTTTTTGGTTCCACTGTATCATGTTCTGTATCTTACTCATCCAACTGTTAATTTTCATTAATATATACCAATAATTAAATAATATTTGATGACCAATCAATTAGTTTTCACTCAGAGCTGTTACTAGATCTTATGCTGTACATATGTTTTTATCTTAAATGTTCATACCTTGAACTAAATTCACACTTAAAACAGCTCCACAACCATGTATTTTATAGCTCAGTATTAAGTAGTTATAGGCCAGGGTAAGAATGTCCAATATGCAGTGTATACTATGGTCCTTTCATAAAACTGGTATCACTTTTACACTTTAAGAGAATAAATTACTATCATTACTATAACCTTTTTCTTTTAAGGGACATCAAAAGGCTACACTAGCAAATTTCAATATTAAATTTCCATTTATGAGCATTCATAAACACTCCAAGTTAACAAAATATTCAGAGACCTTAGTAAATAAAATATGAATACGCCATTCAAGAAAGTACAAATATATGTTTATAAAACTTAGTTAAAAGCAAATGAAATCTGAGTGCGCTACTTACTAATGAACACAGAACAGGGACAGATGAACTGCATACAGTACCTGGTGAGCCAAGATACAAGACCCTTAACTGAGGACAGCACATCGGCCACTCCGGCAATGATTGCCGTCGACACCCTCTCCTGTCTCTTCTTCGCATTTCTTCGGTCTGCTCCTTCTTCCTCGTCTTCACCCTCCTCTTCTTCTCCAGCGCTCCCTCCACCATTGCCAAATGATGAGGTTGTCTGTCGCAGTTCATTGTATATGCTTCGTGCTTTGGAGCTCAGGCGGAGGGCTAAGTACTGGACGTTCTCCTGGTTTAGTTGATAGTGCTGAAAAATAAGTCATTGTCAGTAAAAATTAGCCCACTGAAAAATCATGATTTAAGAATAAGAACATGACCATTTAAGTTTATTATTAACCTAAATTAAAGTCTATGTTATTAACATAATGTCTACTGTAATGCTGAAGGACGTTGCTAACAGTTCCTTTATTTTACTGACCAGTGTTTGTAGAGAATTAGACTCCAGCTCATGTATGTTCAACATACTAGTACACAAGTGATGACAATGTGTCTGACATACTAGGAGGCACATTTTACTAGGCTTAATATTTGCCACAAGCTACCATTTTAAGATTCAGCTTTGTTGTTTGGGTCAATAGCTACCTCATGCCCTTTCGGAAAAAAATCCAGACTGAATGAGTATACGGGGGTCATTGTGAGTAATATCGCCCAGCAAATATAAACAAGTTCACAAGGGTTGGCCGACACACCAACTTTTCTTGAAATGAAATCAGGAAAATACTGTTCAACACAGATTAGTATATTAAATTATTTTTCCACTCTCTTGGATGTCACAGTGCTAAAAGCACAGAATATGTTCCAGGTGAAAACAGGATGCATGCCCAAATTGGCTCATTTCCATTCATCAGTCATATGACCTAACAGAAAAATACCAGTTGAAGCTTTAGCCAACATGTTGCTGCCATGACAGTGAAAGTGATCCATTTTGACTGAAGCCTAGTGTACATTTTCCTGGTACTGTCCCTGGTACACTGAAGAAGGTACAGTTCAGCTCACAAGCAGAAAGCCAAGTAGGCAAACAGATACCCAATATGTATATGCAAGTTGTGTGGTGTATTCCATTATGCCTCAAGCCATATTCTGAGGAATTTCATATCTTGAAACAGTTCTAATATGGCAATAAAAACTTGTACATGGTGTTGCATGACAGAAACAATCATTAGATATAAGATAAACCATGTTTTTGAACAGATATATACTAGTGAATATTAATAGTGTTCTTATAGTTTAGTGTGCTTTCCTATCTTTTTGTAGTATTATTTTTGCTTGAAATCAATATAGTTATATTACAAAATGTGGCACTTAGGATCAACCAATGCATACCAAAAAATTGGAAATCACACTTTTATTTGGCTCAAAAAAACAAAAAACAAAAAACCTAATTGGTGCTTAATTAAGTTCCAATGTTGCCAACATCACATCAATTTTGGCCAAATTCAACACCATAAAAAAGTACGTTTTTATCAGATTCCCCTCATTTTAGTCTTGATCGATTCACACACAGGAACTCTAATTTTCCGGATATGCCACGGTTAAGAGGTTAAATAACCGAGTGTGTAAGGAAGGAGCATGAACTCTGGGTCCTGCCTCACAACTTTAAGCAAATGACAAAAATTATTCATCAAGTGGTAACAAACACACTGCATTCAAATATTTTTCAATGGGATTGTTCCCAGTGATTTATGTATTAATCTTACATGTAATTCCTGAATGTTTTCACATTATCTCAGCTCTTGCCCCAACCCCCAGATGATATAACTCACAATGTTACGCAGAAGCTCAACAGCCTGAAGCACGATCTCCTGGTGGCCAATTTTAGTGACTCTTAGGGAGGGCAAGTCATCAGGGCTCAGTTGAAGTAGCCTCTTTCCGTCAACCTGGTTGTTCACAAAGTAGTGGATATATGGCAAGATGGCTTCGTCCAGACCTGATGGAACAAACATTTACATTATTTGTTGTACGTTTCCATTTTGCAACAATAGAGAAAAACAAATGAGAAAATTTGAGCAAATTAAGTACAGCCTCTCCTCACTTAATGACAGAGTTCCGTTCCTGATACCGCATCAGTAAACGAATTTGTCACTAAACGAGGAGCATACTATAATGGTAGTGGGTTTATGTCAACTAAGTAAGTAAGTTTATTCAAGTATACACAAATACAGTTACATAGAATTATCATACATAGAAGCATGTGTGTAGAGAACCTAGGATAACCCAAAAAAGTCATCCTTGCACCACTTATAATATATTTAGTATATTTTTAAATGTTTTACAGAGGAAATTAGCTTTAATATACATTATTTAGGTGTGAATACACCCATATAACACCACCCACAACATACCACCCATATAACACCACCCACAACATACCACCCATATAACACCACCCACAACATACCACCCATATAACACCACCCACAACATATCACCCATATAACACCACCCACAACATATCACCCATATAGCACCACCCACAACATACCAACCATATAACACCACCCACAACATACCACCCATATAACACCACCCACAACATACCACCCATATAACACCACCCACAACATACCACCCATATAACACCACCCCAACATACCACCCATATAACACCACCCACAACATACCACCCATATAACACCACCCACAACATACCACCCATATAACACCACCCACAACATACCACCCATATAACACCACCCACAACATACCACCCATATAACATCACCCACAACATACCACCCATATAACACCACCCACAACATATCACCCATATAACACCACCCACAACATACCACCCATATAACACCACCCACAACATACCACCCATATAACACCACCCACAACATACCACCCATATAACACCACCCACAACATACTGCCCATATAACACCACCCACAACATACCACCCACAACATACCACCACCCACAACATACCACCCATATAACACCACCCACAACATACCACCCATATAACACCACCCACAACATACCACCCATATAACACCACCCACAACATACCACCCATATAACACCACCCACAACATACTGCCCATATAACACCACCCACAACATACCACCCATATAACACCACCCACAACATACCACCACCCACAACATACCACCCATATAACACCACCCACAACATACCACCCATATAACACCACCCACAACATACCACCACCCACAACATACCACCCATATAACACCACCCACAACATACCACCCATATAACACCACCCACAACATACCACCCATATAACACCACCCACAACATACCACCCATATAACACCACCCACACATACCACCCATATAACACCACCCACAACATACCACCCATATAACACCTCCCACAACATAACACCCATATAACACCTCCCACAACATAACACCCACATAACACGTCCCACAACATAATACCTACATGACACCACCCACAACATATGCCCACAACATGACACCACCCAAAACCTAATACCACCCACAACCTAACCCCTCCCACAACATACCACCCACATAACACCACCCACAATATACACTGACACCACCCACATAACACCACCCACAACATACACTGACACCACCCACATAACACCACATACAACACCTACATAACACCACTCACAACCTAACACCCGCAACCTAACACCCACAACATAACACCCACAACATAACACCTCCCACAACATACCACCCACAACATACCACCCACAACATAACATCTACATAACACTACCCTAAAACATACACCGACACCACCCACACAACACCACCCACAACACACCACCCACAACACACCACCCACAACATAACACCCACAACACAACACCCACAACATAACACCCACAACATAACACCACCCACAACACACCATCCACAACACACCACCCACAACACACCACCTACAACATAACACCACCCACAACACACCACCCACAACATAACACCCACAACATAACACCACCCACAACATAACACCCACAACATAACACCCACAACACACCACCCACAACACACAACATACCACCCACAACATAACACCCACATATCAGCACCCACATACCACCACCTACAACACACAACATAGCACCCACAACATACCCACATATCAGCACCCACATACACCACCCACAACATACCACCCACAACATAACACCCACATAACAGCACCCACATACCACCACCCACAACATACCACCCACAACAAAAACACCCACATATCAGCACCCACATACCACCACCCACAACACACAACATACACCCACAACATAACACCCACAACATACCACCCACAACATAACACCATCCACAACACAACACCCACAACATACCACCCACAACATAACACCACCCACAACACAACACCCACAACATACCACCCACAACATAACACCACCCACAACATAACACCCACATATCAGCACCCACAACACACAACATACCACCCACAACACACCACCCACAACACAACACCCACAACACAACACCCACAACATACCACCCACAACATAACACCACCCACAAATAACACCCACATATCAGCACCCACATACCACCACCCACAACACACAACATACCACCCACAACATAACACCCACAACATACCACCCACAACATAACACCATCCACAACACAACACCCACAACATACCACCCACAACATAACACCACCCACAACACAACACCCACAACATACCACCCACAACATAACACCACCCACAACATAACACCCACATATCAGCACCCACAACACACAACATACCACCCACAACACACCACCCAACACCCACAACACAACACCCACAACATACCACCCACAACATACCACCCACAACATAACACCACCCACAACATAACACCCACATATCAGCACCCACATAGCACCTCCCACATGACAGTCATGAAGGACGTAGGAGCAGGATATCAACATATCCCCCCCCCGAGAGTTATGATGCCCCAGGGTACTATTAGTGCCCCTGGTGGGTAGACTGTGACCTGACTGGTCATCACTACTCACCCTTGAGCCACTCTGACACTTGGTCAGGGCTCCACTCTGCCACATTGACGTAAGCCATCACCAGCACCTGCCTCCTCCACCATCACCCTTGTTGATGCTCCTCCCTGGCCAGCCCTCCCTGGCCTGCCCTCCCTGCCCTGCCCTCCCTGCCCTCCATCCTACACTACTGCCAACACCCACTCAACATTACCTTCTTATTTATATACCTTCCTATGTTCCTGCCTACCTATCTACCTACCTATCTTCCTATCTACTTACCTTCCTATCTACCTACCTTCCTACGGCCTTCCTTCCTATCTACCCTTCCTATCTGCCTACCTCGACTACCTTCTCCCCTTCCCTTTCCCATCTACCTACCTTCCTCCCAATTGCCTCCCTATTTCCCCTACTCCCTTTCCTATCTACTTTCTTTCCTATCTACATTCCTTTCCCTTCCAACATACCTACACCCACAACATACCCCCACACACACCACCCACAACACAACCCCCAAAACACAACACCCCCCAACACAACACCCACAACATACCACCCACCAACATACCACCCACACAAAACCCCACCCTCACACACACCCACAACATCCACCCACACATACCACCCCAAACACAACCACAACCAACACCCACAACACACCCCACAACACAACACCCACAACACAACCTCACATACAACACCCAACATACCACCCTACATCACTAACCTGCAAACATACCTCACACATACACCACAACCAACACCACAACACACACAGACAACATACCCCCACAAACAACCTCCTCCTCATCTATTCCTATACACTTCTCCAATCTACATTATCTTTCTACCACAAATCACTCACTTCCAAATACCAACACCCACAACATACCACCCACAACACAACACCCACAACACAACACCCACAAACAACAACACCACAACACTCACACCCACAACATACCACCCACAACATAACACCCACAACACAACCACCCACAACACAACACCCACAACCATACCACCCACAACATACACCCACAACCAACACCACAACACACACCCACAACACACCACCCACAACACAACACCCACAACACAACACCCACAAAACACAACACCCACAACATACCACCCACAACACACACCACACTCCCACAACATACCACCCACAACACAACACCCACAACACAACACCCACAACATACCACCCACAACAACACACCCACAACACACCACCCACAACACAACACCCACAACACAACACCCACAACACAACACCCACAACAACCACCCACAACACAACACCCACAACACAACACCCACAACATACCACCCACAACATACCACCCACAACACAACACCCACAACAACCACCCACAACACAACACCCACAACACAACCACCCACAAACACCACCCACAACACAACACCCACAACACACCAACACCACAACACAACACCCACAACACAACACCCACAACACAACCACCCACAACAACAACACCCCACAACACAACACCCACAACACAACACCCACAACATACCACCCACAACAACCACCCACAACCAACCACCCACAACACAACACCCACAACACACCACCCACAACACAACACCACCCCAACACAACACCCACAACACAACACCCACAACACACACCCACAACATACCACCCACAACATACCACCCACAACACAACACCCACACACACAACCACCCACAACACAACACCCACAACCACCACCCACAACACAACACCCACAACATACCACCCACAACATACCACCCACAACACAACACCCACAACACATACCACCCACAACACAACCACCCACACACAACACCCACAACACACCACCCACCACCAACCACCCCACAACACACCACCCACAACACAACACCACAACACAACACCCACAACCCACAACACCCACAACACACCACCCACAACACAACCACCACAACCACAACACCCACAACACAACACCCACAACACAACACCCACAACCACCACCCACCAACACAACACCCACAACACACCACCCACAACACACACCCACAACACACCACCCACAACACACACCCCACAACATACCACCCACAACATACCACCCACAACAACAACACCCACAACATACCACCCACAACACAACACCCACAACACAACACCCACAACACACCACCCACAACACAACACCCACAACACCCACAACACAACACCCACAACATACCACCCACAACATACCACCCACAACATTCTGGGTCCCTTATTATTCTTATGTAATGTCAATGACATGCCTATCAGTGTCAAGTGCAAACTCCTACTGTATGCAGATGACAGTGCTCTGTTAGTGCCAGGTAAAGACCCACAAGATATTGCTAATATTTTAACACTGGAACTGGAGTCCTGCAGCAAATGGTTAGTAGACAACAAACTATCATTACACCTCGGGAAAACTGAAGCCATTCTCTTTGGCACGAAACATAAACTGAGAAGGGTAAATAATTTTAATGTTCAGTGTAATGGGGAGCCCATCACTTTGGTTTCATCAGTAAAATATCTGGGAATCCCCTTTGACCCATGCATGTCAGGAAAATTGATAGGGAACAGTGTAGTAAAGAAAGCGAATGCCAGACTTAAGTTCCTGTATAGACAAGCACAGTGTCTACCTACTGAGGCAGTGTCTACCCACTGAGGCACAGTGTCTACCTACTGAGGCACAGTGTCTACCTACTGAGGCACAGTGTCCGGTGGCCTGGTGGCTAAAGCTCCCGCTTCACACACGGAGGGCCCGGGTTCGATTCCCGGCGGGTGGAAATTCCGACACGTTTCCTTACACCTATTGTCCTGTTCACCTAGTAGCAAATAGGTACCTGGGTGTTAGTCGACTGGTGTGGGTCGCATCCTGGGGGACAATATTAAGGACCCCAATGGAAATAAGTTAGACAGTCCTCGATGACGCACTGAGTTTCTTGGGTTATCCTGGGTGGCTAACCCTCCGGGGTTAAAAATCCGAACGAAATCTTATCTTATCTTACTGAGGCACAGTGTCTACCTACTGAGGCAGTGTCTACCTACTGAGGCACAGTGTCTACCTACTGAGGCAGTGTCTACCTACTGAGGCACAGTGTCTTCCTACTGAGGCACAGTGTCTACCTACTGAGGCACAGTGTCTACCTACTGAGGCACAGTGTCTACCTACTGAGGCACAGTGTCTACCTACTGAGGCACAGTGTCTACCTACTGAGGCACAGTGTCTACCTACTGAGGCAGTGTCTACCTACTGAGGCACAGTGTCTACCTACTGAGGCAGTGTCTACCTACTGAGGCACAGTGTCTACCTACTGAGGCACAGTGTCTACCTACTGAGGCACAGTGTCTACCTACTGAGGCTCGCAGGACACTATGTCTAGCCCTTATACAATGCCATATGGATTACGCTTGCTCTTGTTGGTACTCTGCCTTGACAAAAAAACTGAGAGATAGACTGCAAATCACCCAGAACAAAATAGTAAGATTCATCCTGGACCTGGGACCAAGAGAACATGTAGGCCAGGATGAATTACAACAGTTAGATATGTTGAATGTTGAAGACAGAGTAAAACAACTGAAGATAAATCATGTTTATAAAATTGCTCACAAACAGTGTCCAGAATATCTTGGTGTCAATTTTGTCAAGGTTGAGAACCAAAGAAACAGCAAACAGACTCAATGATTTCTTCTCCACTATAGGACAAAACCTTGCCCATAAAATCCCAAGCTCAGATACCCCACCAAATAACTACCTCACCGGCAACTACCCGAACACACTGTTCCTAGCTCCGACTAACCCATACGAAGTCTCCCTTATTATCAATGCACTAAAAAACAAGGCAGGAGATTTAAGTACCTTACCACCCTTTATATATAAAAAAGTGTCACAAGTGCTATCTCCAATCATTGCAACACTCTTTAACAAATCCATTGAATCCTCCACCTTCCCTACAGTACTCAAAATAGCAAGGGTCACCCCGATCCACAAAGGAGGAGACCAAACAGAGTTGAATAACTATAGGCCAATTTTCCAACTTACACCCTCTCTCAAAAATCTTTGAAAAACTAATTCATAAACGAATCTACTCCTACCTTATCTCCCAAAACATACTCAACCCCTGCCAATTTGGATTCAGGCCTAATAAAAATACAAAATGATGCTATTATACACATGCTAGAACATATTACACTGCAATAGAGAAAAAAGAAGTCCCATGGGGATCTTCATTGACTTAGGGGAAAGCTTTTGATACAGTTGACCATGACTTGCTCCACGTAAAATTGTCACACTATGGTATAAGAGGGCACTCCCTCAATTACCTCAAGTATACCTCAGCAACAGAAGCCAATATGTGTACGCAAATGGGGCAAACTCTTCTGCGCAACCAATTACAGTTGGTGCCCCACAGGGAAGTGTCCTTGGCCCTCTTCTCTTTCTCCTATACATAAATGACCTTCCAAATGCTTCGCAATTACTCAAACCCACACTTTTTTGCAGATGACACTACATACGTCTTTTTCTCACCCGACCCCAGTCACACTACCCAAATACTGTAAATCCCGAATTACAGAAAATACTACCTGGATGAGGACTAACAAACTTACACTAAACATTGACAAAACCTACTTCATTCAGTTTGGTAACAGAGCTACAGATGTCCCTCTTAACATAAGTAAACGGATCACCTATCACAAAGCTAACAGGAGGGAAAATTCTTAGGAATCCACCTTGATAATAGACTCAAATTTTCATACACATATACAACAAATTTCTAAGAAAATTTCCAAGACTGTAGGCATACTATCGAAGATACGGTACTATGTTCCACAGTCACCCCTCCTGGCCCTATATCACTCTCTTATTTACCCCTACCCTCACCTATGGAATTTGTGCATGGGGCTCAACAACAGTTAACCATCTCAGACCACTAATTACCCAACAAAAGGCTGCAGTTAGAATGATAACAAATTCTCACTACAGGCAGCACACTCCACCAAATATTCAATACACTAAACCTACTCACCATACAAAAAAACCCCATACTTATTACTGCACCTATTACATACATAGAACACTTAACTCTGATATTAACCCTCCCCCAAACATCTCCTTGCCAAC